ATATATAGGAGCCCAATACCTAGAATATTTTGTTCAAAATGAAGGAATAACAATTGTAGCTGAACAAATGATGTACAATGATAATAATGTATAATGCAGAGATACATTATATCTGATGGATAACTTGTGATTTTATATACAATTGAAAGTGGTGATTTTGGAAAGGATGCACAAAAGCCTGTAACCAAATGACACGCTATATGTAACTGATGAAATGTTTTATGTTTTGTCTTTGTCTAAAAATAAAAAATAAAAACTTTTACAAAAGATAAATAAATCAGAGAAACCCCCATGGGATCCTGGCTTCCAAGACTCATATCTGGGACTGCAATGTGGTTCCTGGAACCTATAGCATCCCCACGCATGCAACCCAGCCTGTGGATCCAGGACATAGGTGGCACTTTTGTCATATTAAAAAGGGGCCAATTAAAGAGGAACACGGAGCTCTCACCAACAATGCCAACCTCCAAAGCAGTGTTTCCTCCTGTTCTTTATCAAGGTCCCCCAAATAAGCAGGATGGGCAGTGGCTCTCCACAGCTGGCCTTACTCCCTCTTTCTCTCTGCTACAAACTTTTCCCACTGGCTAATTAGAACCAGGTTGGGTGAGAGTGAGTTCTGGTCCTGCTGCTGCCTTTGGAAGGAGAGGCCTGGAGCACCCTGACTGAATGATGGCTGGGAAGCTGTGGAGCACTCTCCTCCTTTCCCTGGCTCTGTCTGGCTTCTTCTGCGAAGAGGGTAAGGCCTCAAGATTTCTTTGCCACCCTTTCAGCTTTGTCAGAGCACTGGAGCTAGTTGCCATTTTGTCATATTGGATTGCAGTCATATTTGTTTGGGTCTGAGAAACTGGGCATCTACGATGAAAAAAACCACATGGTTCTTTCTAAAAGTAAAAAAAAAAAGATCTGTCTTTCCGATTTTATCAGTAAACTTTTCTAGAGGACTAGCTCCTTGTAAACTAGCAGCGGAGGATAACAAATTATTGAACTTTATTTAGCATATGGCGAGGTCTTGCAATCACTGATATACAAATGTGGTTTAAATAAATGCTATAATTTCATACCTAAGGAAGCTAACCATCTAACTGCTTCTGGTGTGGCTGCGGTGACATCATCCCAGGTGCCTTGAGTTAATTAATATTTGTATTGTCACATAGGCATCCAAAATGATTTTTAGAAGAATTCCTCACCTGTGAAAAACAAAAATCACAAACTCCTTTTAAACTCCCTTTTTACAACCTTGTAATCCAGGGTAATTCGGAGTAGAGTGGGGTGGCTGGATGGAGCTGAGCATCAAAATCCTGCTAAAAATCAATTACTCCTCTTAGAAATATTGCATTTAAAGAAGTAGGTTGCTTTTCATGCACAGTTATTGGAAAGAAACTCCTTTAACCACAAGAATTTACTTTGCAGCAAACAAGCATAGGATTGCATTAGGGTGATCCTCTGGTACAAGTCCCACTGTATTTAACGAACTCCGTGACACTAAAATAAATTGCTATTATTGTGTGGCCATTTTTTTATTTGTTTTCTAATTTTATGCTAGTAAAAATAAAGTGGGGAATAAAGCAATGTCCTTGCAAGAATATAACACTCTGATCTGGCACAGTTTGGGGAACATGTTGCAACTGGGATTGGAGATATTACCAATTCATTTCTTCATATTTATTATGAATTCTAGCGTTGGTGCCCTCTGTGGTAATCTTTAGAAGGCTGCCCATTTATCAAGAAAGTAATTCAAAACAATAATCAGAAAGCAATTAGTACTACTCCTTTTCCAAGTGCTCTGAAAGAACTGGGGGCCAGAAATTTCATTTTGCAAGAAAGAATTTTGTATTGTTGTTCTTTATTCTAGTGGTGCCTTCTAAGTTGGTGCATAGTACCTTTTATCCTTTCACAGATGTTGGAATAGACCAACTGACTGAATGGCTAGTAACTATTGGGACTCTTGTGGTTAAAATAATGATGCAATCCTAGGTACTGATTTAAAACCATTGCCTTTTGTTGCAAAATAGACCAGAATTAACAAAGTTCTCACTGAAAATTCTGTTTGTATCTCAAAATTCTCTTGTATTTGTCAATACTGAGACCTAAACATCTTTGATATATCTCTGTCTGGTATACATACATGTGCGTGCACGCTTAACATGGGAGACTATCAATATTTACTATTGATAAATATTGCATAACCAGTGTACTTTTAAACAGCAAAATAAAAAGGGGTTGGACAAGGGACAATAAAAAATTTGTATTCACATGAGTAAAAATGTGTGGGGGCATGTATATATTGCTCAGGATGAACTGAGCAGATGGATAAATACCATTTTATTCAAGATAATAAACCTATTTTTTCTGAACTCTGGATTCTTACCCATATTCCTTCTATCGGTTAATAACTAAAGTTTGTAGCATGACAATACAGGATATGGAATCAAGGATTTAAGTTACAGGAAGACAGATTCCTGTTGAGTGTTATGAGCAGGAAGAGCAATTCAGCAGGACATAATTAGAAGATAAAAACTCCTGCACTAGATATGATAATGGCTGGATAATCATGCTTTAATTTGGATCCCTACTTGGAGCAATGGGTTAGTTTTAATGGTCTAAGTGACAATACATGCTCAATAAAAGGGGGGGGTGCCATTGACATAGGATGAATAGAGGGGATTGAGTTGGATGTTCTGTCTCCTGTGCCTGGAGTCTCCAAAGTATTATAGACATCTAGTATGTGAGTATGTAGTAAGGCAATAACAGCTACAGAAGGAAAAGATGGAAGTGTTTTGAAAGAGTTGAGATGTTTCCATCCATACCTACACCAAACAGTAATAAATGGAAAGAAATTGAAAAATAATGTCCAATCTGGTAGATACACACAATATAATCATAAGAGTTGGAATTGGCCACTTTAGGCCATTAAATTGATTTTGTAAAAAATTCGTGTGTAGAGGTCTTTGCAAAAGATAGAGAAGAAANCAGTGGAGTTGCCATGGTAATGGCTTCACCATACTCCACAAGGGGGCTCCCTCTGGTAAGGGGGAAAATCCAACATTAGAAATTATGTTTGGTCCGGACATTTCCCCCCTATAAATAAATACCCAGGCAACACCAGGTTATAAGGTTTTTTTTTAAAAAAAACTGGGAATAACAACCACTAAAGGGTTATCTGGAAATAATTTGGAATAGAAAATATAAGTATGCTTATCATCATTACAGGTAGTTGTCCATTTATAACCACAATTGCAAACAGAATTTTGATTGTTAACCTATGCAGTTAAGCATATCATTGTGTGACCAGATTTATTTTTATGACTATTTTTACTGAAGATGTTAAGCTATCACATGGTTATTAAGTGAACTGCTTAATTGATTTTGATTGTCAGGCTCATAAGTGTGAACTGTCATTAAACAAATGATTATAAGTTAAGAACTACATGTGCCTGAAATAAATAAAAAAACCAACAACCTGGGATGTCAGGGAGAAGAATGATGAACTGAAAACAGCTGACAATTGTGGCAAAGACTAAGGAACCAATGAGTAGACTGGTCCTTTTTCAGAAAAAGGAGAAGACAGGAGTTAGCCCAGGTGTGCTCCAGACAGCTGTTTCTTGCAAATAGACTGCAGTGCAGTTGTTTTCTGTGAGTTTGAGTACCAGAAGACATTTGCTATTTTGCCCAGAATGATGATGGAAATTTTGAAAAGACAAATCTCACTTTGTAATCATTTGCTCATTAGGTACTTCTAAGTTATTACTACAGACAGGTTTGAAAACACTGCATGATTCTGCCTTCAATTCTAAATGAAGGAAAATTGTAATCATAAGCTTAAGAATTTAAAGAATTTAAATATAAAGAATCTAAAATAAAAAGGAAGGAACAAAAGCAAAAAAACAAAAACAACTGATACAAAGACTGTATTTATGGAAAGTAGTCAATAGTTCCAGTAATTTAAAAGGTTTATTATGCTAACAGAAGGCAAGATTTTGCACATTGCTTCCTGTTGGTTGGTTGGTTGAGTTCACACAATACAATTCCAGGGTTCAAATAAGTGTGTGACATGGAAACAAGATTGCTTCATTCACACAGAATGTTTAAACAATAAGTGATTTCTCAAAGAGTCTGAATCACAAAATACCCAAGTTCATTTTAGCCAAGATGGATGCCCAGGTATAAAATATCAAGATGCAAAGGATATGAATTAACTATTATTATTTACTTGGATAAAGAAATTGGCCCAGTTAAACACGAAATTGATTTGGTGGTGTAAAACTTTAGGGCTAGAAAGCTAATGCAAAACATTATCTAAATTTGGTATGTCATTTAAAATAAAGGAAAATGTTAAATGAAATGCACAATTAGCAACAGCAACTATGAGGAAATTGTAATTTATTTTAAGATACTAATCAGTCATTATTCTAGGACAGAAACTTGACCTAGACATTTTTGGCACTCTAGCCACATTTCCTGGTAAGTTCCTGGTAAGTTCTGCTCCCTAATATAGAAGTCTACACTCAATTAAATAAACATGCAGGACAAACTCTCCCTGGAACAGCAAAACATCATTGGCAGAGACACTTTTGAGGAGTGAATTAATAAGATATCACAGAGCCACAAGCTTAGGTCAAACATCTGCAATAAATAGCCGGTTACAATTTGGTTCAAGCAAAGAAAAACACACCACTAGTCTCAGATATTAAATCTCGTAACAAACTGAAATTGCCTTCAAGAAGTTTATAAAATTTCTCTTATAACTAAAGTTTATTAGACCTCAAGGTAAGCAGAAGAACATATCTTTGACCCAGCTTCATCAATCTGCTCTCATAATATTTGTGGTTCTGCAAACATTCCTTATTTTTTCTTTTACTAATTCCTTTTCATTTCATTGGATTTAATCGTACTTTCCAATTGACTCTTCACTAGAATGTGCTAGCAACCATTGTTGAAGGGCAGAAACATACATCATCACTCTGTATTCACCCCTGCATCAAATATGACCTCCAGATATATTTTTGGCTGTGTTTTTCCCCCCCTTATGTTGCTTGAGTTCCACTGTCCATTTTGGCTTCTGTACTTTGCTTTGCTATAAACTAACTCCAACAGATCTTTGGCTACTTCACAGAGGCAGGAATTCCTCTGCAACTGAATCAACTGTTACCATGGTTTCTAATGACTTCTACAGCTAACTTGGCTTGTAGATAAAAAGATTGCTGCTTAAACATGTTTTTTTTTTAAGTGTCATTTTTCTTTCTCTGAACTAGATTTTTTCCCCTCAGATTTTTAAAAATAAGTCCAGAAGTGC